TTTCAGAAAGAATTCGACTTTATTTCAGTGTGTTGTTCACAGACGTGTCAATTTAAAAGGTATCATTTAAGCATGTGCTGCTGCTGCTAAGTCGTTTCAGTCGTGTCTGACTCTGTGAGATCCCACAGATGGCAGCCCAATAGGCTCCTCTGTCCCTGGGATTCTCCAGGTTAAGCATGTGAAAGATATCATATATACATTTTAGTAACTTTTAGCAAAATGTCTTTGTCTTTTTTTATGTACAGTAGAAGAACTATATGGGGAAAAATGTTAGAATTTTATAAAGAGGACTGTTCTACTGTACAGAAATAAAAGATTTTGAAGTGGAACAGAATAATCAACAGAAAACAAATTTTTAAATTTAACTCATTTCATATTTTTAATAAAATAAAATATTGAAAATAGCAGCCAAATTATTCACATATAAGTACTAAACAATTAGTATATATGAGTTTATGGTATATGATACAGTTTTGAATTTTTTAACTATAGAACCAGGTGAATTAATTTACTTAAGTTGTATTTTGTCTAAAAATGTGTTGTCAGTTTTTAGGCAGTCAAACCCTGTCTCACAAAGGGACAGTATCTTTTTTTTTTTTTTCATTTATTTTTATTAGTTGGAGGCTAATTACTTTACAATATTGCAGTGGGTTTTGTCATACATTGACATGAATCAGCCATGGAGTTACATGTATTCCCCATCCCGATCTCCCCTCCCACCTCCCTTTCCACCCGATTCCTCTGGGTCTTCCCAGTGCACCAGGCCNTTTTCACATTCTCCTTTTTGTTTTTCTTGGAATATAGTGCTCAGTGACTTGAAGGGCAGTGGAAGTTACATTTTACAAAGAGTTCAGTTCAGTTCAGTTGCTCAGTCGTGTCCGACTATTTGTGACCCCATGAACCGCAGCACGCCAGGCCTCCCTGTCCATCACCAACTCCTGGCGTCCACCCAAACCCACGTCCATCGAGTTGGTGATGCCATCCAGCCATCTCATCCTCTGTCGTCCGCTTCTCCTCCTGCCCTCAATCTTTCCCAGCATCAGGGTCATTTCAAGTGAGTCAGCTCTTCGCATCAGGTGGCCAAAGTATTGGAGTTTCAGCTTCAACATCAGTCCTTCCAATGAACACCCAGGACTGATCTCCTTCAGGATGGACTGGTTGGATCTCCATGCAGTCCAAGGGACTCTCAAGAGTCTTCTCCAACACCACAGTTCAAAAGTATCAGTTCTTCGGCGCTCAGCTTTCTTTATAGTCCAACTCTCACATCCATACATGACCACAGGAAAACCATAGCCTTGACTAGACGGACCTTTGTTGGCAAAGTAATGTCTCTGCTTTTTAATATGCTGTCTAGGTTGGTCATAACTTTTCTTCCAAGGAGTAAGCATCTTTTAATTTCATGGCTTCAATCACCATCTGCAGTGATTTTGGAGCCCAGAAAAATAAAGTCAGCCACTATTTCCCCATCTATTTACCATGACATTTTATAAATATACAAACGAATACACTCTAATGTCTAAATGAGTTAGGAAAAAAGGAAGTGCTAAATAAAGCAAAAAAGTAGCTGAAGGTTAAAATTTTACCATATCATCGGTATGTTTGTTCTCAACACTTAAGAGGACACTTAACTGTTTAAAGTCAAGAACAATGGTCTGGTTCTTGATTATTTACTTTTAATCAAAGCTGCACGTAAAATCTGTAACTTGGATTCCTGTGCACCACCCGACGAAAAGTTCTGCCAAACCTCAGAGGCTTGCCTACTCTTATTCCAGTACTTGGGTCTCTGTGCTTCTCACTAAGTCTGATTCGAGCTCAGCGTCTCCAGCAGGAGTCCCCTTCACTCGCATGTAGACTGTTGCTCTGATCTAAAGAAAGAGATCAGTACCTGGAGACCACTGCCGGTGGCTGCAAAACCCAACAAACCGAGAGCCAAGTATGACCTGTGACAGGTCAGTGAGGTCTGAACGTGGTGCTGGATCAGGTCCTCAGTGCTAGGACAGTATTCCCATGATTTGACCAAAGTGGGCAAAATACAGAAGCCGCATAAAGGCAGTCATTTATCAAAGTGAACGTACACTCGGCATGTTGTAAAGAAATGGTGGTCCGTCTTCAAAACTTTTATGCATTGACTCGAACCAGCGTCATCCACGGCGCTTCCTTTGTAGGGTGTGGCTCACCAACAGGGCACAGTGCTCCACGCTGAGCCTGGAGCGTCTCCCAGCCCCATGGTCTTCTCCAGCACTCATGGCATTATCCTCAAATCAAGGTGTTTCCTGTTATATCAGTACATTGCCCACAACATGCTCATTCAAGACGAATTTTTAACTGGGGAGTTTACAGTGGAGAAACCTTATAGACACCCAGCTCATCAGGCGGTCAAGGTTAACACCGTCAGCTGTAGGAGGGCTTGGTGTCCTGTGCCCCTGGTCTGACACTCAGCCTAGGCAGCCCACACAGGCGAGGGGCTGAGGGTCATGCTACAGATGGAAAGACCTGGAATCTCTGATTGTCAAAGACATGGGGCAGTGACAGATTGAGGAAAGTTTCAGTGTGAAGATATGTCCACTGCATGCTTCTGGGGCTGCAAAGAGAGAGACGTAGCTGGGACGGGAGAGACAGATGGTCCGCTGGATGGATGGCTGTTAGTATCAGTGGTGATGTGCTATCAGGCTGGACACGGGTGGGGGCCAGGGGGCGCAGACAGAGCATAAAACTGGGCCATCTGGTCAAGGCAAGGGGGGGAACTCTCTGCTCTAACATTTTTCTACAGCATGAAACTATTTCATATTTTAAATAATTTAAAGGGCAAAAATAAAAAAGAAATCCCTGCTTCTCCTCTACTGAAAGTCTTCTCTGTCCAACCAGTTCCAATTACAATTGCCTTAAATTCACAGCTCAGCTGCAAACATATTTTAGGCTAAAAGTTGTGGTCTGACACAGCTTGGGAAGCTGTTTATTTGCCATCAGATTATTTTAAACTATTAGTGCCAATTTAAGATCTAATGAAACTGCATCATAGGTAAATCGAAGTTCCCATGTCAAGATGATCCTTTTGTTGAAGGCAGTGGAAACGGTGAGAGAATTATGTGCTTTGCCAGAAGTGCCAAGGGCCGCAGATAAGCTGCCTGGCCATGAGGCTGGAGGATGAGGCTGGTCAGGTCAGGCAAGGCCAAGCTAAGTCCGTGCAGGTCAAGACTGCAGCCCAGTCTTGCCAATCACCTGGTGTGAGAACTGTTCAATCCCATGGTAATCTGGAAGCTACCACTGCAATTAAAGCAGCTCCCGAGAAAATCATTAGTAAGCACAAGTGAAGGCCTCATTACACCAGGGATAACAGGGTCATTCATTCATTTTCTGTGTTACAGGTCAAAATTAGATGGCGCCATGGAGATGGTACACTGGGAGAAAGAACTTTATGCTTTTTGGAACTCATACTTTCCTCATCAATCATTGTGATTAAAAAATTACAGATCTATTCCATTTTCACTTTTACTCTTTAAAAAGCTATCACTTACTTATACAGTTCCTAATAAACAGTGGATGCAACATTAAGAAATGTAATACAGAGTTGACTATTTTTTAATTGCATGACAACAACGAATAGTGTTTAAAAGGGATCCTGTTAAGTAAAGAGGTGTCCAGAGACACAAATACACAGACATCAACTTTCATGGGCAGGAGATCAGACCACATTCTGAAGCAAATACTGTAGGATATCACATGTTCATTTAATTCACCCATGGACAGAACAGGGTCAGGAGATCTGGGCTCAAGGATGTGAGAATGACAACTGCTTGGCGGACCAGGATGTGTCAAGACTGAAAAGCAAATGCCAGACAACTCTGATAGGTGTGGCTGTGGTTCAGATCAAGGAAAATCTGGATTTAAACATAGTCATCCCTTGGTAATGAGGGAGAATGGTTCTAGGACTCTCCCCACCCACAGACACCAAAGTCAGCGGATGCTCAAATGTCTTGTATAAAACAGCCTAGAACAGCTGGTCCTGCGTATCCACATCGCACACCCACAGGTACAGGAGGCTGACTATGTTTCCTAAGTATCTCCTCTGGGCTCAGCTCTCCGCCAGGTTGGCTGAGGCATTTTCTCTCTGAGTCTCACGGGAATGTTTCCGATCAGCATATAGTATGACAGATGCTCACTAGCGGTGCAGAAAGCGAGCACACACTGAACTCCTACCCACTGACCACTCACCTCCGGAAACTTAACCAGCATCATAAACAAAAGGAGACTGGGTCGGAAGGGGCAGATGACCACAGCGTGGACAAGACTGACACCCCTGGACCTGGTGTGTATTTGGTGTCATCGTTGCATCTGGCGTGGGGTAAGTCACGGGGGGAGCACAGTGGCGGCTGAGACTCACGGCAGCCTGTCTGGGGTCAGTCCCTGCTCCTCCTCCTGCAGCTGAGGACCGGGCACAGGTCACTTCGCCTCTGTGCTGTTCCCTCCTCATCTGCAACAGGGAGCGGGAACAGTCCCAGCCCCAGAGCTGCGGGCATTAAATAAGTGGTTACATCATGGCCTGACAGCACAACCTGGCACAGAAGGTGGCAGAAGATAAAGCAGGAATACGTTAAATAATGAATTTATAATAAAGAAAATGCTCCACTGAGATTCCTGAAAGAGCAAGTAGCCAGACACACTTGGAAAAAACCGTGTGTGCTGTGGCGTCCAGAACGAGACACTGCATCAGGCTTCCCTCTTTTCTGTAAAGGTGCATTCAGGAAGAGTCAACAGAGTTTGACGTCAGAGACTGCACTGCACGTAATATACGTCTTTCCTAAACACATGCAGTCAAAAACGTTAAACTTCCGTTTATTAGCACAGACGAAAATCTGAGCACTCTGAAAAAAACATCCACAAACATCTCAGGGCTGTGAGGAGTCTGCTGTCTGCCTCCATCCTTTCTTACTTACCAGCGTCACCCTCCATGGAGCTCAGAAGTCATAAGGAAACCGCAGTTCAACTCGGAGCTTGTGGGTTTATTCTAGGCTAGCCAAAGCTTTGATCTTTCCGGCTTCAGGTGTTATGACACAAAGAAGTGCTGCTTTCCCCCCGCAGTACGAGAGCTGAGCACTCACCTCGGAGTAAGCAAGAGTGACGTGCTCGTACACCCCCTGGTGGTGGTGGATGGCGTCCTCCAGGTCCTGAAGCTCCGAGGGCAGGTCCACCTCGCCGCAGGCCTTGCACCACGAGTCCACATTGCTCATATACTGGGGTGGTTTAAACAAAAATAAAAAGATCATGTCTACCAACAGCAAACGATATTGAGAAGTAGCCCTCTTTCAACATGGCTTTGAAATAAGGGTGGCTGAGAGAGTGTCTAGGAAGAGTGCATGGCTGACTCCCTGGATCAAACGGCACTGACCTGGGTTCTCAAACCAGACACCTGGACTCTGCAAACCAGCGCCCCGTCCCCCCCTCCAGCTTCAGGCAGATTTGGAGGTGGGCCCAAGAACCTGCATTTGAAATGACAACCTTGGGTGGCTCTGTGGTCACTCCTGGGAGCGCCTTTGCCCTGCATTTGCTGTTTTTCAGGGATTATGGTTAATTCTCCCATTTCACGGTTGAATCCGTGTTTCCATGTGCTCTGCACTGCTGGCCATGGGGGGCATGGCCACCCGGTCCACCTGCACCGCCCCCCACCCCTCCCCCCGCCGCAGCAGCAAGGCGGGCTACTCCCAGAGCTGCGGTCCAGCCCTCCTAACTCTCCTCTTTCATTACAAAGGCAGTGGAAGATTCCTAAAGTCATCTACCTAACAGTACAGAGACCAGAGGGTCCATCTGCCTACCTTTTCAAGAGTAAATACACACAGGAGCTAAAGGAGATGCTGGGAAGGAGGCCAAAACTCCAGAGCTGTGCCCTCTGGAGGGAAGGACGGCTGAAGGAGGTGGTGGAATCTTTGGGGTGTCCCTGCTGTGCACGTAAACGGGAAGGGCCTGCAGGCTGCAGTCCTTGGCCATGGCTGCTGACCTGTCCTCAGCCTTCTCCACTGCCACCCCCGCCTCATCAATAGCTGAGAAATCACAGCCAAACTTCCTAGGGAGACCCCAACAGCATCCATCACGGTAAGTGTCAAAGGGAAGCAGCAGAAGGCTCAATTAAGGATGCAAATTCAATTAACACTAATTCAAATAAACAGACATCAACGCATTTCCCTGGGCTTCTCCTCTTTTCTCTCTGGTTCTTGCTGTCTTTCCACTCATCAGGGAATGCAGAGCGTGACTATTTAAAACATGGTAACTGACCTGCCAGACAAGAAACGTGCCATGATTCTCTTAAAATATATATATGAGAATAACCTCCTGGGTACATAGGGCATCTTTAGAAACTTAGACAAGCCACCTGAGTAACCACTGTTTCTAAAAATCCCTTTATTATTAATGTATTGGCTCAGGAAAATATCTGCATGAAAATCCCAGGGCTGGAAACCAATTCACAAGGCATTAAGTGTCATCTGAAGACACGGGGTTTCACATGGCTTTAAACATGACTACACCAAGGCAGGCCCTGGGGAAGGTCCCCATTACTCTCCCGCATGGTTCCTCCTGACATCACCAGGACAACGGAAGGATAATAAGTTATATTTTGCCTCTCCCCATTTCCATGTACATACACACATATGACTACTTAGGCATATTTCTAAGCATTTCCTGGATGGTGCTCCAAAAGCAGTCAAAAACACTGCTAAGACATAGTTAACCCCAATTTTTGAGGCTATCAGTAAAAAGAAACCTTTCAGCAGTTTTACGGACGCCTACAGTTAACCCACTCCGGTATTCTTGCCTGGAAAATCCCATGGACAGAGGAGCCTGGTAGGCTATAGTCAGTCTGTGAGGCCACAAAGAGTCTGACATGACTGAGCGACTTCACTTTCACTTTTCACAGTTAATTAACTTACTTATCATTTCTTAAAGTATCCGGAGAAGTACTGATTATATGTACCTGCAAAAACATAGGGCAGATCAGCTTATTAACACAGAAATCTCATCGAAAAAGGACTCTGCACATTTAAGTTCACTGGGTTAAAATATCCCAGTAACAGAAAGAAACCTGACCATGGTTTTATAGGGACTTCTGTGCAAGCAGTTTTTGTCTTTGATTTAGAAGATGGCAACCCTTAAAGGGCCAGCTCCAGGCCCCAAATGTCTTCTGAAAAACTCGACACCCAAAGGAGATCTGAACCAGAGCAGCAATCCCTGCTGGAGAGCTGAGGAGGAGGAGGATGTTAACAGGTGCTCCAGCAAGAAAAAAGACTCTAGGATTAAGTGTGGTGTTCAACAGGTACCCACAGTACAGGACCTCCTAGAGCCTATTGACACAACAATGCGCCCTGTGAATATGGGAGGGGGGGACTCTGATGTTGGTTTAAAAACCTGACTACCACCCCTTGAATCTGAGCAAACTCTGGGAGGTAGTGAAGGACAGAGAAGCCTGGCATGCTGCAGTCCATGGGGTCAAAGAGAGTTGGACAGGACTGAGCAACTAAACAGCAAAACCAAATGAGTGAAAACACAGTATCTGGCCAGATGTGGAGGAGAGGCAGGAGAGTGCGAGGGAATTTCAGGCAACTCTGAATTCAAACCAGGAGCTGGCTTCAGAGCTGGGGATTCTGATGCCCAGCAGAGTGGTCGCTTTAGCACTGCTCAGAGAGGATGGCAGGAGGCTGGGTCAGCCAGTTTCCAAACGTGAGGCAGGCAGACGAAGGAAGAGTGATTAATACGTAAGCTTTAAAAGGAAAGCCTGAATAATTAACTAGCAGCCTTATTTTCAGAAGCATTTATGCCACTGCCCTCCATCTGCTAAGAGTGGGAACTTCCAGCTTGCTGAGATTGCCCAGCCTAGTGAATTTCACACCCACCAGGAATGCCTGATACTGCATCAGCTGAACATAGGTGGTTAGCCTGATTTAGGAGCAAAGGGACAAGAACTTCCTAGAATGTAAACACTTAGAACCCTTATTTAGAGGGCCTTTCCCCTCTTTGGAAAAATTAAAGCTCAGTGAATTTTATATATATATATATAATGCGTGTATGAATTCCAAGTTCAGAGTTTCCTTTCTTATTTCTAATTTCCTCATTTTCGGCTTCCATTTCTAGGAAATATTACTCTACTGTTTCTTTCATCGTTTCTACTCCCTGACTATGAAAAAACACACTCCCTTCTCCTGGTTCCTTTAAGAGATATGCGGTCCCTTCTCTGCCCAGCAAAATCACAGGACAGATGAAGGGTAACTTCAACAGCCAAAGGTGGTCACAGGCTACCACACTGGACAGTAGAGCTCTAGTCATTTTTTTAAAAATAGGGAAAACTGGAGATTTTAAGGTATAGTAAAATCAAATTGCTTTAATTCTTTGATTTATAACAAGGTAATTCTAACAGCTTTGCTATGAAGTTCCTTAATATAAAAGGATATAACACACGACCAAAAAAGTAGAGCCCTAAACATCGTCTACCAGTCAAACCACTAGCCTCGTGGCCGTGTCTCCAGTTCTGTAAACAGATACTCTGACCCCGTCCACACCCTCACAGGAGATGAGGGCGGGAGAGGATAATGGCCAATACAGCTCTGGAAGGCACAGTCTACAGAACGTCATTCTTATCGAGCTGTAACATCAAGATTTATGTGCATAAACCACAAGTGAGGACCAGCACAGAACACCCGCGGGGACAGAGGAGCGGAGCAGCGCGGCGCACACCCCCCAACAGAGTTGAGCTGCCGTCCTTCCCCGAAGGCGGCTTCCTCCAGCCGCACCGTCAACTGCAGGGTCACAGAGTTGAGCCCTACATCACCCCGATCAGATTTAAATCCTTAGTGAGAGCTCCAGAGGAGGGTCAGAGGGGTGGCTATGATGGAAACCTAATCTATGATGTCCGAGTTCTGGTTCACCCCTGGTGAGTTTATGAAAACAGCTTAAGCATAACTAGTAGGCAGAGAATTTAAAAAGAGGGAACAGAGGTAACCTATTCAGCGACTCTCCTGGGAAGAGGAAAACCACTCAGTGATGTCACCTTCTGTGCTCCTGAATCTCAGTGAAGGGGAAGACAGACCTTACACACACTACACTTGCGCTTGAGGGAGGGAAACATTTCGGAAGCCGTCCTAGGGTCCCATCCGCACGTTTTGGTTGCTGGGTACAGCTGCTGCCTCAGTCAGGGCCCATCAGAGACGTCGGCCTTTCTCACGGGCCCACTCTGTTCCCAAGGACCTATGGGGCATCTTCTCTGGCTACTGAAGTGATGGAGTTCGCAAGCACTGTTAGAGCTCATGCAAGACCCCATGAAATTCTGTTCAACAATGTATTCCTCTAGCTGTGTTTCCTTCAAGCTCATAAATTAAAGCCATTATTTTATCCAAATAAAAACACCCCAGGCTCTTTCAACTTTGCTGCATGTCTAAAATTTTTTTTATAATAAAACATTGGGGAGGGGAATACCCCATGGCACCCACATTTCTACCTTGCTTTCAGGCAGGGCAGAGCCTGTTAACTGGCAGAGCCAATTAATCTTCTGGATTACCTGCAATTCCGGATCCTGCCATGGTTAGAGAGAGATTTTTCCCTTATGCTTCAGACTATCCAAGAGTCCCCCAGCCAGTCTGTCAGGTTTCAAATTTATTCACATCGTCCTGACGGGCCTTTCCAGGGCCCAAAAGCAAGTCACACACCTCCACACAGTCCAGGGGGTGACTGCACCCTGCTCCGTCCCAGATGGCACGTGGGCAGGGGTCACGCGGCTCTTCTCCCGAGCACAGGAATGTCCAGCGAATGACACGCCACGACCTTGACCGTGACGGGACCCAGAGGTGGCCACACAGAAGTGGAGACAGTGCTGTGTTAAGGTGACGGGGCTCCTATTACTTTAACTCAAACTTTCCTGCGTGGGTGCTCTGTGTCTCCTTTATCACAAAACTACCTCATGCATAAACTTAGCAGGAAAACCTGCCACTGAAACCTGCTAATCCCGACTCACAGCTTCCACACGACTCTGTCATCTTGCTCTCCCGTTCCGTTTCCACTCCTGCTTCACACTTTAAAGGTTCCCAGAGTTGAGATCACTCCTAATTAGCACCTTGTGCGACATTCCAGCCACCCCTCCGAGATGCCAGGCAGGCTGGGGCTTGTACCCACCCAGCAAGGCTGTTTCTAGATGAAAGGACACCATTTCCTTTTTAGAAGCATCAGTGCAAATCCCTGTGAATGTAGGTTTCCCCCCCACAAAATAACTACCCCTGAGGAAGCTCTATCAGTATTCTGCCTTCAAATGAAGGCAAGCACCTGTCCCTTGCCCCCGTCTCCCGAGCAGCTTCTTCCTCCACGTCTGGAGCAGCCGTCTCACCGCCCAGGCTTCCAGCACGGGCGGCTGAGTCACAGCAGCTCCCTCTCTCGCGCTGCTCTCCCAGCGTGCTCGCTGCGGCAGGTGTGCCCGTGCGCGGGCACACTTCACACGTTACCTCCGAGACAAGGTACTGTGACCAGCAGGTCAGCAGGTGAAGCGCGTGTGAGGTCCGAATCCACAGAAATAACGTAACAATTGTGGGGGACACTGAAAACCGTACCCCAAAGCCACTTCTCCACTGCGGCCCGGGCTGGTTTAGCTCGGCCTTGCCGGGAGGCTGAGAGCCCCAGCCTGCGGCCTGGCTGAGGGCTGGCACCCCTCGGGCCCAGGGGACTGGGGGAAGTGGGCTGGGCTGGAGAGATCTCCTGAGAACACTGCTGCGCTGAGACAGCGACCGGAGACGACCCCGCCACCCTGCACGCGCGCGACGGCAGCAGAGGGGCCAGTGCCGGGAGCCGAGGCCACACCCGTCTGCTCAGGCCACGGCCAGGCCCAGGCAGAAGCCCGCCTGCCCTGATGCGCACGGCTACCGCTCCCCGGGCTGCGGGAAAAGCAGACCCCAGGGCCTAAACCGGAGAGTCGGCGGTCTGCTACGTGCCGCCTGTCTCCTAACTCGAATTCTCAAGGAAAGAGAAGAGGCCAGGAGGAGGGATAGAAAGAAGGGGATAGAGAACAGCCGCTGGGGCAACAGGCTGTGTGCAAGGCCCCTAATGTGAACCTCACTGATACCGTAAGACGGCCCCTCGAGTCCATGACTTTCACCTCCCCTTTCCAAACGAGGAGATGCAGCAGGGCTGAGCGCCACGGGGTGACCTCAGTGCCCCAGTGGTCTCTGAGGCTCTGCTTCGGGGGGCCAGGGGAGGCGGGCAGGGGCCGGGCTCCCAGGCACTGACCTTCTCAGCCTTCTGGTGGAAGACGGATGACATGTCCAGCAAGGTGCTGCGCTCGTCCAGCGCGGCCGCGAAGGCCTTCCACTCCTGCTCCAGCTGGCTGGCGATCTGCTTGATCTGCTGGGAGGCGTAGTGGCCCGACTCCACCAGGCGGCTGGCCACTGACATGATGCGGTTGATGTTCACGTACACGTTCTGCGGAGAGGCGAGAGGGGGGCTGGTCAGGGCGGGGCGCGTGGGGTGCCGCTCCGACAGATGCAGAGCGCGCTTTCTGAAGCTGCCTATGAACTTAAAAGTCACATTCTAATAGCACCAAGTGGATAACAGGACATGTGTGCTGCTATCTGGATTTCCATAAACCCTAAGCCTTGATTTCAGTTTCTAATTTTAAAACTGCAGAATTACAGATGAACCAGCTGGGAGGGGCACAGAAGCAATACACACAATGCCCTCTGATCTGCGCCCTGGCCTTCCGTCCCAAGAAGGGTCCAGACGGTAAGCTGCCGCCCAGAATCACGGGAGCCACTGCTGCAGCCTGTCATGAGGACCCAGAAACGACAGACTCTGGACGTGGCAACCAGAGGCTGCTCTGTGTGAAAACAAGCCCTCCTTTCTACACAAGCCCAAGTCAGCTTTCTGGTGCCAACAGGAAACCTGTAAATGGATCCACGTTCCCCAGGGAATGTGAATCAGGGGACCAACAGAACAATGCTGTGTTCCAACTTTAACGAGCTTTTCAACTGTGTTGAAATCTCTTCAAATCGAGTAGCTTATGGCAAAAATGAGAATACAAAGCTTTTTTCTTTTTAAAAAAAGGGCATTTTTCTTGCAAAAGAAGTTCTCACTATGGTATTTCCATTTCTGCCTTCCATCTTCTTTAAGGATCACAAGAAAGCAAAGGCAGGGTGCGGAATTTGCACTTTCAGTGAAGCCTGTTGTTGCTGCTCTTCATATACTGATTAAGATTTTTGTGAAGCAGCCCAACACTGCACCGTGCACTGGGCCTCCCCAAATCGCAGCCTCACCTTTGGCTCCCGTCACCCTCACCCCTAAATCAAACCGGGTTACCCAACCTGCCTGAACTCCCGCACTCTTCCTCCCGTCTCTCCTGCCCACATGGTCCTTGAGGCATCTCCCGCTGCCTCGCCCCGTGACCCCTGCACCAGCCTCATCACTGTCACCCCGAGCGCAGCGACCCAAGGAAGCAGCCTACAGAACGCGCTTGGCGTTCTCTGTACCTTCGCTGACTCATTCCTTTCATCCACTCCTGATCACAGCCTGAACCAGGTGGAGTCATCTGGGTTTACAGAGCCTCAGAAGCCGGGTGCTGAGGCACTTTTCTGAGCTGCAGGATGGAACCAGCCACCATGTCCGGGAGTGGGGCCTGCCCAGCAGGCGGGGGGCCGGGGGCGGGGGGGGCATCTGCGAGGC